AGTTATAGGACATGAATCATATTTTCTTTTTCTGTCACAGACTTTTTAAAAAATATTTCCAAATGATTTGTATCCTCATTACACTCTAAATCTTGACTGACTATTCAAATATACATGAAAAATCCAGTTTTATTTTCATGGTTCTAGTGTTTTCATGGGAGCTACAGGTAGGAGGAAAACACCTATTTCTCTCTTTTTCTCTCTGAAAGATCAATAAATCCAATTTAATTAATTAGTCAATGCTACAAATGGTATTTTGTTTTTCTTTGGCCTCTAGAGTGTGCAGTAATCAGGAACACCGTATGACAGTGTCAGGCAGGGTCTTGCCAGATATGAAAGGTTCAATTCTTTGCTGTTCCTTAGCCTCTTTATATTCTAGACTTACATCACTCTTAATAAAGAACTTTATTAAAAAACTTCAAATAATTTAGGTCTTTAGAAATCAACATTTGTATATCTCTAGGACACACCTCTGCTTTCTTGTCAAACTCCACTTCATGTGGGAAAGTGGGGGAGGAGGTAGGTTTAATGTTTGGGAGACCTTGAGAAGTGAGGCATTCAGTGACTTTGGTATAAGAACCATAGTGGAGAATCTGTTTCTCTACAGTTTTAAGATTCTGTGGAGGAAAATCTTACTTAGAAGTGGTTTTTAACTTTTGGGTTTAGTCTAGGATTGGAAATATATTAGATACTTGTTTTCAGGCAATAGAAACTAACTCTGGCTAACTCAAACACAAAAAAGGAGATATATCATTAGAAGCTTGTGGAATCTAGGGGAGAGCCAAATTACCAATACTTACAGGGTAATATAAAGCCTTGCTCAGAGGTTTAAGAGTTGAAGCAACCGAAAACTGTGCTAAAGTTTACTTTTTTATAGCAAGCAAAAACTACTCAGAAAAATTTTGCAGAAAAATTGGAAAGTAAGAATTGGTCATTTTCTCCTAGATATTAAAACAAAAGGTGAAAAATAAAAACCTGGTAGTTATATTAATACTTAATATAAAATTAAAAAGTAAAATTAAACACTTACTGTGGGCTCCTGGGTGGCTCAGTTGGTTAAGCATCTGACGACTTCAGCTCAGCTCATGATCTCACGGTTCATGAGTTCAAGCCCCACAACAGGCTCTTTGCTGTTAGCACGGAATCTACTTTGTATCCTCTGCCTGCCTTGCTCTCTCTGCCCTTCCCTCTGTTCTCTAAACAAACAAACAAACAAACTTAAAAAAATTAAGCACTTACTAAAATAGCCATTTGTAGTGGGTTTTTTTGTTTTTTGTTTTTTTTTAATGTACCAAGCTCTTTGTTCCCTAGGGGGTTAGTTTTTCTGATCAAATCTATCATCCTTTTTTTCTAGATGGTTTTTCATTCTTTTATTCTGAGAGTGGGTTTCCCTATTTAAATATTGTAGAATATAGTTAAATATTGAAAGTATGTTTTTGATTCGGTGGATTCATTTTTTCTTTTTCCTGTCTCCAAATACTCCCTTTAGTAATGATGGTTCAATTAGGCCATAGTTCTTACAGGTTGTAAGCAGATATGATTAGCACTGTCCTTCCCAGGTTGTTCTGATACTTAATGTCTTACATCAGATTGCTATAAGAAAACACTATAGACTGGGTGGCTTAAACAGCAAATACTTATTTTTCACAGTTTTGGAGGCTGAGAACTACAAGATCAAGGTGCAGATTCCGTTCTTGGTGAGGACTCTTTCCTGACTTGTATGTAGACAGCCACCTTCCTGATTTGTGCTCACATGGTGGAAAGAGAGAGAGCTCGCTTCTTTTTCTTATAAGGATATTAATGTCACCATAGGAACTATACCTTCATGATCTCCTATAAACTTGATTACCACACAAGGGCCCCATCTACAGATATTATCACTTTAGAGATTAGGACTGCAATATAAAGATTTTGAAAAGTCCAAATAGTCTGTAACATTTCCCTTACCCTATCTCTTCTTTACTTTCACCTCAGAAGGATATAATTCTGTTTATTTTTATTTTTAATTTGCTTTTGTTATGAGCATTGCTTATTATACATGATTTTGACATCACAGAGGAACAAAAAGTAAAAACTGATAGTTCTTTCCTTAATCCTCAGTATCCCACTTCCTAAGAATAACTAACATTATGTGCCAGAATATACAAAGTTATTGTCAGTATATATGAAGGTATATGTAGCTGTTTCTTACATTTAGATATTCAGTCCGTGTGTGTGTGTGTGTGTGTGTGTGTGGTAGCACGTGCATGTGTGTTTGTGTGTTTAGTGTGAAGCAGGGTTCTGTTTCCTAGTAGTTAGCTCTTATTAGCATCTTGACTCATTATTTATCTACTCATAGAAAATACTTTGTTATATACCAATACCATTATATATGTGTGTGTGTGTGTATGTATATATATGCAGTTTCTGTATTTTAAGTTGTATATATGTATATATATATGTGTATATATATATTCAGTATATATATATGTATATGCATTTGTGTACTTTAAATTATTTTCAGATACTAATGGTATTTTTTATTTTTACTTAAGTATTTTTATCTAATGTTTATTTAGTATGTTTATTATTTTACTTTAGTATTTCCCCTCCCTCCTACTGGGCCATTGTTGTTTTTGAAATACTTCTTAGCTGTTCCCTAGTCCAGTTTCAAGAATGTTTATTAGTTTTCACTGTAATTGCATTGAATTTGTTTGTTAGTATGGGGAGATAGGATGTCCAAGTAGTATTGTTTTCCTATAGGAACATGACATATCTTACATTTATTCATATCATTTGCTCAGATTTATAGGTTCTTTATACCTTTATTCATGGGTGTTTGGAATGTTAATGTTTGCAAATATTGTAATTTTCTACAATAAATTTGTAATGGTTATTACCTCTTATACCATGTTGTATAATTTTTATACATTTTGCATGTTTATATGCACCCATATGATTCTACTAGCCCTTTATTTGGCCGCCTTCTTCTTCTTCTTCTTTTTTTTTTTTTTTTTAACCTCATTGCACTGGGATTTCCAATGAATAGTGGTAATGATACTGTGCCATTTTGTCTTCGTCTTTTTTTAGTAGCAGGCCTTCTTCTATTTTAGTGTAATGATGGCCACTGATTTAAGAAAAATCCATTTTATTATTAAGAATCCTTTTCTTGGTTGTTAGATTTTTTTTTAAATCAGATAATGAACATTAAATTTTATTGAATGCCTTTTCAGCATCAAATGAGAAAGTCAATGTGAGCTTTCAGTGTGGTAAATAGTTTTAAAATATCCTTACATTCTTGGAATATCCTACTCGGTCATTGTGTCTTTTTTTTTTAATTTTTTTTTTTCAACGTTTATTTATTTTTGGGACAGAGAGAGACAGAGCATGAACGGGGGAGGGGCAGAGAGAGAGGGAGACACAGAATCGGAAACAGGCTCCAGGCTCTGAGCCATCAGCCCAGAGCCTGACGTGGGGCTCGAACTCCTGGACCGCGAGATCGTGACCTGGCTGAAGTCGGACGCTTAACCGACTGCGCCACCCAGGCGCCCCAATCTTTTTTTTTTTTAATAGAAAGATGGGTATTATTTCATAATATGTGAAAATTTTAATATTCATAAATTGCTCTTTTATTTATATATTTTCTGGTTTAGTACCAGGCTTATGATAGCTTGCTGAAATACATTATAATACTTTATATGTCTTGGCTTAATTTTAAAAGTTTAGAAATTATCTATACTTGAAAGCATGATAGAGCACAATAAATTTGGGAGACTTGATACTTTTTGGTGGCAGTGGTTAAATAAAACCTTTTTCTTCCATAGCTGTTACATATAGTCACTGAGAAATGTCAGTCCTTTTTTTTAATACCTTCAGTCATCTCTTGGATGATACAGTTTGCTCTCTTGTTTCTTTATTATTTGTTTTTATTCATTTAGGTTTGGATGATACAGTTTGCCTGTCTCTTTACTTATATTTTACTTATTTATTTATGTTTTTTTTTTCCTCCCAAAAAGGGCTCATGGAAATTATATTGTGTAAAGTTTTTGTTGTTGTTTAGAACTGTTTGAACATGTTTAAAACACATTTTTTGTGGTTATGTTTTAGGTGATACCCTCTACATTTTTAGATTCATTTAAAAACATTAATTGGACATAGCTCTACATTTTAAAGATACTATTTATATAATATATTGTTTATCCAGTTTCCATGTTTGAGTGTTTACATTGGTTTACTTCTGAATTTGAATATTTATTTTGTCAGGAGACATGTGAGTTATAAGCTCTCCAAGGGCTTGAATATATGTTCAAATATACTTGTCAACGAGCAGCATCTTGCTTGAGTTTCGTTTTCATAAATATTAGTCTTATTTCTCTTAAAATAATTTAGATTTGGTTCATTGCTTTCAGGAAGGAAATCAACATTATAGGGGAAAAGTTTGATGTCTTTTTTAACTTTTGCTTGTGGAATTTTTTTTCTTCATGAAATGGAAAAAATTGATTTCATATTTATATAAATGTTGTTTTAATGAATGTTTTCTGGTAGTTAGTTAATATCTTAAGTTTTTTATAGATATTTTTGATAGAGGGACCCTCTAGAGGGAGACACTTTGGTATTATATTTGGTTCAACAGATCCTGCATGTAGTAGTTATCTATTGCTAACTAACAAATAGGGCTGGGATCTCATCCGAAGGCTTGCCTCGGAACTGATCTTCCAAACTTATTCTTGGCCCAATCTAGCACTTTTTCCTTCCACTACAGCCATACTGGCGGGTATTTGATTTATTTGAGAGTCACTCTTTGGATTTAACATTCAGCCCTGAAAACATCTACCTCTTTTGAGTCCTCCTGTTACTTATGCATAAACATGTGTGCGCGTGTGCATGTGCTCATGGGCATGTGAGCACCTGTAGAAGGGGAAGTGGGAGAGACAGAGGGAAACAGGAAGGAGGTGGGAGGAGAATGATCAGATGTTAGTATAACTTATTTCCATTTTAAGAACTATTTTTTTCCCCCATAGGTGCCTTAGCTGGGCCAATTATTGTGGAGCCACATGTCACAGCAGTATGGGGAAAGAATGTTTCATTGAAGTGTTTAATTGAAGTAAATGAAACTATAACACAAATTTCATGGGAGAAGATCCATGGCAAAAGTTCACAGACTGTTGCAGTTCATCATCCTCAGTATGGATTCTCTGTTCAAGGAGAATATCAGGGAAGAGTCTTGTTTAAAAACTATTCACTTAATGATGCTACAATTACTCTACATAACATAGGATTCTCTGATTCTGGAAAGTACATATGCAAAGCTGTTACATTCCCGCTTGGAAATGCTCAGTCCTCTACAACCGTAACTGTATTAGGTAGGTATGCTTGAATTACATATTTTGGTGGTAGTGGCAAGGATTATAATAAAAATATTTCAAGAATTTAAAATGATTGAAAATATATATATATGTATATAGTTTCTAAATAATTCAAATATGATTTTTCAAGTTCTGTCTTAAAATTCTGTAATTCTAGCCTCTCAATTTAAACAAAATTTTGTCTGTATCTACCCTACCCATTAATGTGATTCTGTGTGGTTCTTAGCTATTTTCCTTTCTTCATGAAAGATTATTTTTTATGTATAATACTAAGTGTTGAGTGTTTTTGACATTTTCAGTGTTCTCAAATTTTCAAACTTTAAATTACCATCTTTAAATAAGCTTTTCCATTTATTTAAATGTCCATTGTCTTAGAGCTCATTGATACACCTCATGTTTGTTTCTGAAATCAAATTCTATTTCTGCTCCTGTGGATTTCATAGCTGTTGGAATCTTGGGCTGTTGATTGTAATGAACAATCTTCTGCCTTTTTCTGATAACTGTTAGAATCTATGGTGGAATTTAAAATGAGCTTATTAACCACTTACAGTGAAAGGACAGTAGTTTGGAAATACTGGTTTATACTTTTGGAATAACAGAATAAGGATTAAAGAGTAATAGCAACCTGAGCCATTTTCACCCAGAATAGTACTCCTTTAACAGGAGGTCTTTGCTCTGCATCTACCTGTTTGCCCACCTGCTGATAGCTCCCCTCCTCAGTCCTCCTTCACTTTCCTTCCAGATGTTAAATGCTCATAAAAACTGTTTGTACTCCTTAGTTGGTCTTAGTTCCAGCTTTCAGAGACACACAAAAAAAGTAACTAGCCCCTGGTATTTAAAGGCATAATTTCAGGGTCTCTGAAATGCAGGAAAGCAGTTTTGTCCAACTTTGGTAGATATTTTTTCATGTTTAGAGATACTATTTAAAAATACAAATGAAACTAACTTCTTGAAGACTTGATATGTTTGTAATACTGCCCTAACAGCTGTGGGGATATGTAACTCACATTAATGAAATTGATACTTTTGAGGAATGTTTGATTAGAAGGCAAGGCATAAATATCTGAAAAATCAAGTGCAGGCCATCAGGGTAAAAAAGGTCCCAACAAAAGTTCAGTATCTAGAAAGTAATAGTTTATGTGTGGAAGAGGGAGCTCATGCGAATAAACTTTTTTTTGCTTTAAATTTTAGTAATTCCCCCTGAATTAATACAGTATTCAGTGGTTTAAAACTCCAGACTGTTTATAAGACAAGACTAGTCACGATTTTACCCATGCCTATATCTCTAGCTTCTTCTGTTCCATCCCTTTCTTCACTTTTCCTACAACCCAAATTTAATAATCATGATAAACTATTTGCAGTTCTGGTAATACCTGTTTATGTTTTACATGTGTTTTTCTTTCTGGTTGGATTGCCTTTTTCTTCCTGTCTCTCTCCTCCTACGTTCTTCTATTTAACTGCTATTCGTCAGACCACATCCTTTTAGAAGCCATTGTTGAAATATATAACCCCTTGCAATTTGATGTTTTTCTCTTTTGGCTCTTTTGCCATTGTATCTTGAGCTTGTCTATTGCAGCAGTTTCCACACTGTTTACTATGTGTTTTCTCCTAGAAACACATGGTGGACTGCAACTATGTACTTTAAAATTTAACTTTATCTAAAGCCTACAAGGGTTCCTAGTATATAGCAGTCATGCCCTTTTAAATGTTGTTTAAGTAGAGGATAGGGATGGATTGGTGAGCTTTTTAGTCTACAGAGGTGGTGTAGAAAAAAAAGTAGTTGAGTCAGCTTTGAATTTTGGGTAGGTTTTGGGTAAGAAGAAGGGAAATAAGTGTAGGGAGAACAAGTGAGCCAGTGTAGGGAGGCAGAAAACAATACACATTCGGGCAGTTTTTTAGTGTCAACATTGGTGACATTTTGGGCTGAAATTCTTTGTTGTAGTGAGCTGTCCTGTCCATTGTAGACTGTTTGGCAGCATCCATGACCTCTGCGCACCAGATGGCTAGTAGCAGTCCTTCAGTTATGACAACTGAGAATGTCTCTAGACATTGCCGGGTGTCCTCTGGGAGAGAAGAGAGGAGAGATCACTTACTGTTGAGAACCGTCATTAGTGGAACCACTGAATAATTTGTTGATTGCTTATAGGATTTATATAAAGCACAAGAATTAAAGACTAGAGAGTTGAGTAGGACTGCATTAAAGTAACTTGAAGGTTAGGATGGGGAATTTGAGCTTTGTATTACTGGAAATGCCAAGTTAGTGTAAGGTACTGTGCTTGCCTCCCTTTTTCTACTCTCAGACTCTTGTTATGTAAAGTATGGTTCCTGAACCAGCAGCATTGGTATCACTTGGGAGTTTGTTAGAAATACAGAATTTCAGGCCCCTCCCAGACTTAATGAATGGTAAGTCTACATTTTAGCAGAATAGCTAAATGATTCATATGCAGAGTAAAGTTTGAGAAGCACAGCTTTCACTGTGCTTATAGGGATACTTAATTCATAGTAGACTTGATTTAGGGAGTAATGTGAAAATTGTGATTTATGAAGATCGGTCTGGTGTTTTTGATGGATTGAAATGAAGAAGTCCCAAAATCATAATCCTTCAGCCATGAGGACATGAAGACTTGAAATTAATTTTCTAATTTCTGCCACTTGAGGAAAGAAGGAAGCTATTATATAGGAATAACTGTCAGGACTTTCTAACTGATTGGATACAAGAAACAAGGGAGCTTTGAGCATAACAGGTTTTGAACCCTCGTGATTGAATAAGTTATGTTACTATTAACTCCAGTGGGCGTGTCTGAATGAAAACCAGGTGTTGAGGTTGGGAGGCTAAGATAATGAGTTCAGCATTTGTTTTATTGAGTTTGAGGATATATAGGCAAAAAATACTAGTTGGTAGTTAGAAACTGTGGAGTCAAGCCCTGTATCAAAATTGAATTAGAGATCATCTGGATAATAGTGTATATCAGATAAAAGTTTTTAATTAAGGCAGATGCAAAAAGTAACTGAAGGCCCCCAGGACCCAGTATTTATTAAGGCAGAGGTTAGAAGAAACAAATAAAGAGAGCTTTGAGAAAAATTCGGGCAAAGTAATACTACTTACATGATGACAAGATAAAATTTTTAAGATTACTCTAGCAGCTTTTACCACAGGGAGAATTAAGCCCTACAGACATGATTTGAATAACCATTTTTTTCAGTTTTCCTAAGGATGGTGCACAGCTAGTATCATTCTAAATGCATAGCCCAGAAAGTAATTCATTACTTACAGCAGATACTTTAAGGCATTAGTACTTAGTTCTTTGGGAAATGAATGTGAAGAACTGCACCAAAATATCAAATTCTGTGAAGTTAGTCAAAGAAAATAGGCATACAAAAATATTGAGCCTGTGGTTTACGTGGTGACCTTAGAGTCTCAGTGCAGTGGTAGTAATAGAACCCAAATTAAGGGAATGTGATATAACAAAAAACCTTTGGGAAAATTTAACAAGTGTCCCATAGTTGATTACTATGTACCTAGTTGATTACTTGTCTTGATGGGATATTACATAGTTGTTGGAATTATGGTTAAGAAAAGTGTTGCTGCTTGAGGGGGGGGAAAAGCAAAAAATATATATCCAGATAGAAACTAGAAAAAGAAATAAAGAGAAGTGGAAGAAGGTGAAAATGACTGCATTAGGATATTGTAGTTGTGGATAATTTTCCCGTTTTTCCAATTTTTAGAAATACTGCTTTTGCAGTAAAAAAAATTCCATTGCTGTGCATGATGGAATGACAGGGACTGGATTTACCCTCTCTCTAAGAACAAGAAACCAGGCAAATAAGAAAGTTTTTAGTCATTGGACAATAGGCAGTGTAGGATTATGATCCCTGAAAGAAGGAAAACAAAGCGAGTCCCTACAATGTTCTAGCTTCCTCTTTAGGCAGTTTCCAGGCTACAGCTCACTGACAAGGATTTGAAGCAGAGAATGATGGTTTCAGGGAGAGTAAAAGAGACATTGGAATTCAGGGAGGACAGGTGACTAGAATTTGTGGAGGAGAATACTGGAAAGCAGAGAGCATCAGAGAGAGAGAGAGAGAGAGTGTGTGCTTTAGAGATCTACAGAAGGGCACTCTCAAGTCTTTTTGGTTTAGTACTGATCTGTGTATGTGTGAGAGGAAACTTTTGAGGTGGAGGAAAGAACCAGCAGAAAGCAGTAGGTCTAACCAACAATTCTGGTGTTCACACAGGGCTGGGAAAACTTCATATTCTCCCCATTCAGAGTTCAGAAGGGCATTGGTAGAATCTTAAGAGGAAGTAACAGCAAAAGTGCTAGACAGGGAAGGGTACAGAGAAGTTAACTAAAATATTGAGGTATATGAGAAAAGTAACTTCAGAAAGCCAATACAATCTACAACTAGGAGATTTATTCCCTTCATAGGAGACAAAAATAGCAGTTTAAAATTGACTTTAAAATAATTTTTTAAAGCTCCTCAAAGATAAAAGCTTCTATTAATGATGGCATAAGTTATTCAGACCAACTCTCCCATAGGAGGGATGCAGTATAAAATACCACCGAAAGCTTCAAAGAGGTAAGAATATAGTGAGAAATCTACCTAGACCAAAATCTAGGAGAAGGTAAAAACAGAAATAAGCCTAGTACTGAAAGCTGCATTCCACCTGAGGGCTTCTGAGAATTCAGAAGAAACACTTGAGATTTTGAGATTTTGAGAGCCTTGAGAAAACAGAGACAAACTTCTAAGTGTAGTTTTGCTCAAGATGGGATGTCTAGTAACCCTTCTTTTATTCACTTGGTATCCAAAGCTTACATTTTTCAGAATAGTAGTAAACTAGAAGCAAACCAGCCTTCTTACAGACTTCTAGGTTTATGATTACCTGAGTGGTCTGATTTTTTAAAAAAATTTTTTTTAATGTTTTTATTTTTGAGAGAGCATGCAAGCGGGGAAAGGGCAGAGAGAGAGAGAGAGAGAGAGAGAGAGACACAGAATCCAAGCTGTTGACACGGAGCCTTGACACAGGGCTTGAACCCACACTCAACTGACAGAGCCACCCAGGCACCCCTGAATGGTCTGATCTTAATAAGTTCAGGAGATCCTAGACTGCTTAGAGATTTCAGGAGATTGGTAGAAGAAAAGTCCAATCTTTTCTGGTCTGGAAGAAAACTACCTTATTTTAGACCCCGGATTATTTCTCTCTTAATTATTCAGACACAGGCATATAGTTTCCTTGAGTAGGGAGGCATACAAGTAAAGAAAACCCCACAAGCAGCAGCCAGTACAAATCAGACAATAGAAACAGACCTGCAAAGATACAAGATGTTGGAGTTATCAGACACAGACTATGAAACAGCATCACTTAACATTTGAAGAGATAAGTCAGTCTATAAAATTTCTGCAGAGAAGAAATTATTTTAAAAAATACATAATAATTTGCCTTGAAGTAGAGAAGTAATTTTTAGCATATAAAAGCAGTTAACCATAAAAGGTAACTGAAAACTGATAAATTTTGGTACATTTGAATTAAAAATTTCTGCTTACCAAAACACATCGTAGAGCAAAAAGATCCTAAACCAGTAGAGGGTATTTTTTTTTAGCATATATCATCAAAAAAGGGCTCTTTTCCCAAATCAGTAAGTAAAAGCAATTGGTTTTAATAGGCATTTTGCAGAAGAAATTCCAAATAGCCTATAACATGAAAAGATCCTTAACCTCATTCATAATGTGAGAAATTAAAAATACAGTCTTAATGATAATATGATTATATACATACAAGATTGACAAACATTGGGAAGTCAGTATCAACTTGTAGTGAGTCTTTGGACCAAGAGGAGCTCTAATATTGGGAGTAATTTGGTACCTTAAAAAGCTTTTTTGGCATTATCTGGTAAAATTGAAAATAAAAATAGTACTAATTCCACTATAAGGGACAGACTAGAGAGGCATCTGCACAAATATGCCAAGGTACATGAATGAGAATGTTTCTTATAAAATTGTTTACTCCAAACAGGAAACTGCGCCAATGTCCAATGGTAAATAAACCGTACAGCAGTTAAAATTAATAATTTATACTATTGCATGTAAATTTAAATGATCTAAAAATTAAAAGTTAAAAAAATGAATTCCAAAATAATAAACTAAGGCTAATTCTTCTCAAATAAATTAATCTCAGCAACACAAAGTTGAGTCAAAGAAAAACTGTTACAAAAATGCATATAGTCCAATACTATTTGTGTAAAGTTCAGAAATAGGTAAAATGCAACTGTTTTTAGGTTTGCATGTGTTGCTTGTAGACCTATCATGAAAAGTAAGCAAAAATATATTTCCAATAATGGATTCATACTTGGGCCAGTAGGTGTCAAGGTCAGGAAGAGGCATGTTGAGGAACTTGGGAGGTGCTATTTTTTTTTTTTATTAAGATGTATGGTGGTTACATAGATGTTTACTATAAAGTGTTCATTACATGTGTTGTGTGTACTTTTCCCATTGCTATTTTACAGCAGTACATCTTGTAAAACACATAGGGAAATACATAAGGGAAATATCAATACGCCTTGAGGTAATTATGAAACAAAAAAAAATAGATACAAATCAAGAACAGATGGCACTGAAAGAACTAGTTGGAAATTTTGGAAATGAATAAAAGTTATTGGGATAAAAATTTAATGTACAGAATAAGCTATAGGCTTGCGCCAAATAATTCCTGAAGTGAGACTGAGGAATTTATACAGAAAGAAGCACATAAAATTTGCTGGAAAATGTGAAGAGATAGTTAGTATAATGGAAGGTAGATTGAAAGGGCCTAAGCATTAAGGTTAGTTTTCATCTGCTGAGGAGCTTTCTTATACTAGAAAAAGGTAATGTCATCTACATTCTAAGCATAACTATTATTGACATTATACTTTAACAATGTAGGTTCCATACTGGTAACTTAATTTGTATTTTCTGTAAACATTTTTGCTGCAAAATGAAGCTGTATGTCTAAAAACTACATTCTTCCCCCTTGCAGAGTGATACTACTTACAATCTCATAATGGAAATTATGATCCAACTTACAGGACATTTTCATATACTAACTGGGGAGAACTCATCGGTCCCTATAAAGAAAAATGTATCTCTGCTAGGGAGAACCGTCTTCAAGATTATAAAGTCTTGCTTAGCTTCTTGTTTGCCTTGGCTTATGATCCTCTCTTGTTCCAAGAATCCAGTTGATGTTGGTATTACTTAAAAGTGTGTGTGTAGATTTTATAGGCCTTTGCTTCTAAGTTTATGAAATATGGTTAGATATGGCTTGGAAGGATGTAAATATATTCTTAATTGAAATGTAACTACTTTTTTTTTTTTTTTTTTTAATTTAAACAGTTGAACCCACTGTGAGCCTGATAAAAGGGCCAGATTCTTTAATTGATGGAGGAAATGAAACGGTAGCAGCCATTTGTATCGCAGCCACTGGAAAACCAGTTGCACACATTGACTGGGAAGGTGATCTTGGTGAAATGGAATCCACTACAACTTCTTTTCCAAATGAAACGGCAACAATTGTCAGTCAGTATAAGCTGTTTCCAACCAGATTTGCTAGAGGAAGGCGAATTACTTGTGTTGTAAAACATCCAGCCTTGGAAAAGGACATCCGATATTCTTTCATATTAGATATACAGTGTAAGTAAACGATAACATCTGCTTTTGAAACATATGCATTTTATTTTAATTTTCTTCCTTTGACATAATTCTATGTCAGACTTTTTAATTTGAATATTTAGTATTCAGATATTCTTACAGCTTTTCCTTGTTGACCTTTTCTTTCTTAATTTTTAAAAATATTTTCATGGAAATTTCATTTAACCAGAACATTTTTTATTAGTTTGTAAAGATGGAGAGTGCCAACTTAAAATTATTTAATCTTATCCTTTTTAGACTGGACTTAAGCAAATTATGGAAATATTTATACCTCAAAATGTGCAATACTTTGAGACAAACTTCTCTAATCCAATTAATATAGCTGTTACTCAGTTTTATTGATACTACCCATGATGTTTTCAGCAAAAATCTTTCACTGCCTAGATGCATTTTAATTAGAGTGAAAACCCATGTTTTTTATTATTGTTTCTCATCTGATTTTCTTGATCATGTTATAGAGTAAGACGGTATGTTAAAGATATCATTGGGATCATAACCATTGTAGATAAGTTCAAACTTGGCCCGTCTTGTATTTTTTTTTTTTTTTTGGTTAAGGGATGCTCCCTTGTGTGTGAAGTTTGTATATGTATATATGTATGTGTGTGTACTTTTTCCTGTACATTTTCTCAGTTGTTGATATGTTCTTTATGTAGCACTTAAAAATTTTGAGAAGAAAAAGTGGTAATGCAGCTAGCTTATAACAAGGATAATGAAAATGAATAGGTGGTGTTACAGTTTTCATTCTTAGTGTTTTCTTTTGATATGACATGCATGGATTTTTAAATTGCACATATTCATTGCACTTGGTGTAATGATTTCTAAAGCTAATTCTGAGAATCTTTTTCAACATTTATAGGGTTGAACTTGGGAACTTAATCTTATGTGAATGTTATTACCATTTTATTCTGGAGTGCAGATACCTTCTTTTCACTTCTTTGGAGAATCCAATTAAAATTTCTCTTTTTCCTTTTCCTACCTTACTTTCACAGACTTAACTTTTTCCTTTTTCTTGTAAAATTCAGATCCCAATTGTAAGTACTATTAATATTTTCCTCATATATATTTTGTCCTTCCTTGTATTTAGTAATGACTGACATTTTCTTCAATTTGTATTATGTATGTTATTCTTTTTTGGTTGGTGTTTGCTTGAATGCAATCCTAAATATATAAAAATATTTCTTTTAATGTAAGACATATAATTATGGCTTAGATTTATTGACTTGTTCTTTAAATGTTAGAATACTCATGACTTTTTTTCTTTAATTGGCACCTATAAAACATGTGAACAAAGTTTAAAGAGATAAAATCTTATATCCAAAATTCATATCAAAATTTGGAGGTATTCTTTGGGAATACCTTACTTAGTACTTATTCCTTCCTCTTAGTAAAAGAAGGTAAACACACAGATATCTGTACTGTTCTTTCAGTAACATTTTATGGTACCAATTTTAAGTTATAAAAATGATTGTTAATTTTTGCATTTATGAGGCAGGCATTTCTTAAAATTACTGAGGTAGTTAATTGTTCCTTAGTAAAAGTTTAATTTGTTACCACTGTTTTGTAAACCTTGCTTGACAGTAGATCAAGCTTCCCTGCCAGAATTAAACTGACCTGGTCCCTCTGTAACTTCCCACCTGGTCATGTACTATTTATCTAGTTTACTGTGTAACTCACAGCAGGGCCCCTGTACCATGCATAAAGTGACATTCCCTTAGGAAGCCTTTCATGACCTTCCTCAGCCCCCATCCCCAATCTAAATTAGGCCCTTCTTATCTTCTCGGTATCATCCTGTTCTTTTCTTTCTTGGCTCTCGTAATAGGTTTTGATCACATACTTTTAAATTATTCCCTTCCTTATTAAAAGCTATTAGAAAATACGTTTTATGAATACAGAGTCTATATGTATACCAAATGCCTACAATAGTGCCTGCCACTTATTAGGAGTTAGACAATATGATGGTTGAATGAATGGTTAGTATTAGGTTGTGTAGTTGGAAGGCATAAATTTGTATTGCTAGTAGGTATGGATAATTGCTCATTTAACTAATTATGCTATGTTGCACATATACCAAAGGATGTTTGGGTGCAATGGATAAAATTTCATGTTTTAGAACAGTTGAGGCCATAGATAACTTACTTTAGTTTTAATTTTAGCCTTAGAAAGTTTATGTCACATTCCATCTCTACTTACCCGTAGAATATTAATTATAATACAGAGAGTCTAATCTCTGTAATTGATTTTGTATCTCTTAGGGGATATTTTCTTTCAGATTAAACATTTTTTAAGACAGTTTTATATGGCGACTTGGTATTTAAATGCCACGTCTCATCCAAGTAAGCGGTGTAATGTATTTCCTTTGTTTATATATCTGTGTTTCTCATAATAGAACTCTTATATTTTGTTCTTGGTGATTATAGGTTTGTGAATATTGTTACATTCAGTGCCCATAATAACTAGAACTGTACATGCTTACAGCTGCCTAGGGTTTGGGTACTCATTGTACATTCGTGCAGTTTCAGTCAACTACTATATTAACTACTGTTTTCCAGTCTATTATCTTAATGCTTTGTCATTATATATTGCATTTATCACTAACAAGAGATAATTTGTCCTGTTATGCATTTATTTTATAGATGCTCCTGAGGTTTCAGTAACAGGCTATGATGGGAATTGGTTTGTAGGAAGAAAAGGTGTTAATCTCAAGTGTAATGCTGATGCAAATCCACCACCCTTCAAATCTGTGTGGAGCAGGTAATAATGTCAGATACTTCTAAAGAGAAGTTATATAAAGTGAAAAGTATTCTTAAATGCATAATTAATTTTTTTTAATCTGTGTAATACATGATCATAGTAACAGTTGAAAATTAAATTAAGCATTTCTGAGTGTTCTCCTGTCCCACCTCTCCCCTACCTTTCTATCCCTGCAGTTCTGTTTCTCAGAGGCTCCTTTTTAGCAGTTCCTTCTGGTAGTTACCATCATAGGTCTTAAATTGCTACTTCTTAATACTATTTATTGACTTGTGGCAGATGAAAATTTAATTTTATATCTACCCCTTCACACAACAAACATACCCATACACATATTCCTACCTTTATGAGTCCCAGTGAAATTCAGCTACTTTTAGTTAAACTCTGTAGTCATCGTTTGCCTCCCTATGACAAGTAAATACTATTTACTGAGAACTAAGTAGTATACTGGAATTCTGTTTTCTTTTGTCTAAGATCTTTGTTTTCCCTGAGGCTAAGAATTCTTAGCCTCAAAGAATATCCTTAATTCTCTTTATCTGTGAAATTTCAAACTGTTATACTAAGATTTTCACTCATTTTTGTCAGTATTTAGGGCCCCCCTTTAGTCTTGAGACCTGTATCTGTCAACTGTGTATAATTTTCTCATCTTTTTGGTCATTTCCCTCTTTTTTTTTTTTTTTTTTTTTTGGTTTACCAGACCTATTTTTTGTATACTAAATATCCTTTCTTATTTTTCAAACAGTTTTTTGTTTCTCCTAGATTTCCTTGATTTTTTTTTTTCCCTAACTGACTTACTGATTTAAAACATGTTGGGGGTGTATTTAATTTCTAAGAGCATTTTCTTATTTCCCTGTTCTTTTCATAGCATTTTTTTCTTATTTTATGGATATAATGTCTTTTTGTTTTTTCCCAAGAATACAGTACTAATGTTATTTCCTCAGAGAGTTTTTTTCTGCTTCAAGTTCTTTTGTTTTTTGTTTGGTCTTTCATTTTGTAGATATTCCTTAATTTTCTCAGTTGTCCAGTCGTTTCACAGTGATGTATTAAAATAAAATGCTGAGTGGAAACTCTGTCTTTAGAGTGGGAATTACTCATTAGTAGATTCCATTTAGAGTGATCAGCTAGAGAGGATTCTTTGCCTGGAGAAGCTTCAGATGTCACTTAGGAAGAGTGAAAGTCTTTTTTTTCCATGGCCATTCAGTTTTTTTTTTTTTTTATTGAGTATATATTAATTCATTCTTCTTTCTTTTTTTTTTTAATTCATTCTTATTTCTAAATCAAAAGTGTCTAGTATCTGTACAGAGTTGAGAGGAGTCCATTATTTTTTTTCAACTTTCAACTAATCTCATTAATTCTTAGCCCTCTGCTTCACTCTGGCTTTCTGTAGTACAGTGAGTCAAACTCCAAATCTTGGGTTCTTTGGAGCACATTGGCTGCCTTCCCATTCATATGCCTTCTGGAAGCACTTCTTCAGCCCAGAGTGGAGTTTTTCAGCCTTGGAACTATTGACATTTGGGGCTGGATAAATCTTTGTTGTGGGAAGCAGTCCTGTGAATTGCAGTATGTTTAGCAGCATCCCTGGCCTCAAACCATGCCCCCCCTCCCCCAACCCTGTAGTCTCCAGACATGCCAGTTGTCCCCTGGAGATAAAAATCAATCTTGATTGAATAGCTTAAAGCATGTATTGTTTTTGCCATCTCTTTTCCATCTTCTGAAAGTTTGTTGAAACATCTTGTCTGATGACTTGTGTCTCCTGTTTTGTTTTTCTTTGTGGGTTTTTTAATAGCTTTCAATTCCTTTACCCTTGTTTTAGGTGGGATTTTGTGGGAGCAAGGAAACAGTATATTTGATACATCTGTTGTCTTTAAGCAAAGATACAGTTTTTAAAGTAGAGAAGGTTTTTTTCATTTACATTTTCCTAAAAGTGAGAAACAGTCTTTGGTTAAGATGTGTGATAGGTTATTTTTAAAAGTTATACAATTCTGAGTTCCATTCCTAGATGTCTTTTTGAGTATGATGCCTAATCTCTCTAATTTTGTTTCCTCACTGATAAAAGTATGTCATAGAGTTGTGAGAGTAGAGACAATGAATATAAACGAAGTAGCATAAGTGAAATAGCATAGAAAGTGCTTAGCATGTCATTTGCTGTGAGTTTAATGTGATATTTAGATTTTTATGACTATGGCTTATTTGAATAAGCAACTTTAAAGGATTATAAGCCATTTTTCTATTTCTCAGAATTAAAGGGATTCGAATTTGGGCCTCAAAGTGCAGAGAGATAATTGATAAGATTTATACACTCCATATTCATTCTCACCCTCCTAGAAAATGTTCACCTTTTGAAAGCGTGTGCTTATACTAGTGTTCTTTTCAAAGTCTTCTTAGAAGAAGGCTGGGTGTTTCTGTTTTTTAAGCCATGCGAGAATATTATCTTTTTTCTTCAGTGCTAAATTGAAGTTCCAGCACTGTAAAAGATTTTGATTGTTCTTTTATCTACTACCCTGGGATTTGAAGAACAAAATCATTCCTCTTATGGTCCAGTGTTGGTTTTGTTTCTTTCTACCTTTTTATTTATTTATTTTTTTTAATTCTTATTCCCTTTGTAATTAGTTGTTGGTCTTCTGCTATATACTTAGATCATTGAAAGCAAGAACCTGATCTTATTTACTTGTGAATCTCAGCAGCACTAACAGAGTAGAGTATGATTAGTAGTAAGCTACTGGTAACTAAGTAGTGGATAGCCAAGTGAATGAATGAATGGACTTTTTGAAAATGTTAGTTCAAACCATAATACTTGAGTGCCTGGGTTTACTTGACTTTTTGTCCTCTTAAACAATTTACTCATGGACTTTAGAAATAATTTCAAAATAAATTGGTGTATTTTTTGGTACCCTAAATTTGGCGATATGATGTATAACAGTATACTTAGTTCCATTGCAGTGAATGGCTTTAGAGTTGCAGTGGGATTTTATTCTTATTGTGGTTTATGCTAATGTATAACAGGATGTCTTAGAGCCAAATTAGTATAGACATCTATTTTTAAAAAGTTTTTATTGATGCCAAAATGGTGTCTTGGTTTTTACTGTCCCAGATGCCCACCTTAAAATTGAGATTATTTTATAAGAAGACCCTTTTTGATGCTTTAGAAACTAATCCTCTTTGGATGGGGCATAGTATAAATTTGCTCAGTATGAAATAATGCTGTTTAAATATGTTACAGAAGGTGCTAAAACATTACTATGTACTTAAATGAGTTGGCTTTCCATTAAGGAATTTATAGATATATCATGAATTGATGTATTCACTGAGAATTATTTGTAATTCCTTTGATACTGTATGTCTTCAAATAATACATTTTTCTAATTTTCCAATTTTCTGAATTTGAGTCTTAAAATCACATAATTTTTTCTCTCCTTCTTTCCCATTCTAATATGTTGGCCTACTTCCACTTCTGTCATTTAGTATTTTGAAAGAATGGTTATTTATTTACTTTTTTTTTCCTGAAAGAGTGGGTATTCTTCGTGGATTTTTGTCTGTTCATTTTTATTGACAATTCACATCTTATATACTTTCATTTCATAGTGAATTTTACCTAAAGAATGCCAGTTCTTTTACTAATATCTCAAAAGTGTGGTATCTTATTTAAATAGCTGTCTGTGAATAAAGTCTGACGATACATAAAATAATTTCATGCTTTTTAAAATCTAGGTTAGATGGACAGTGGCCTGATGGTTTATTGGCTTCAGACAATACTCTTCATTTTGTCCATCCATTGACTTTCAATTATTCTGGTGTTTATGTCTGTAAAGTGACCAATTCCCTTGGTCAAAGGAGTGATCAAAAGGTCATCTACATTTCAGGTAAGTTACTATCTACTGGTGAAATGAGTTAATGAAATTATTCCTGTAACAGCAGTAATAATAACACTATGTTCTCATTGGCAATTTATATTTGCTAAGGTACAAATTCCTCAGTGTGAGGTTTTCCAAATAATCTAAAAGAGATATAATAAAGTAGCCCTGCCTGAAACACATATGTAAAGTGCCATTACTTAAAGAAGTGTCAAAGTGTCTATGCAATAAGCTTATATACATTTTAAGACCTTTGCATATAGTTAATTTTTCAATTACATAGTATTAAGTATTCCTTTTATAGATAGTGTGTACCTTTCTAGGTTCTCTCATCTTTACACCGAGAGCATCTTTACACTGGGTTTGTTTGTTTATTTGTTTTTGGTTGTCACTCTCAACACAAGTGTCTCAAATAAAATGGGATATTGACTTTGATGACCTGGCTTATTAAAGAACATACTTTGTCACTCAATATGGAACTCTATCATATTGGAATACTGAGAGGTTAAGTAGGAATGCTATTGAAAATGTGCTAATGAAATAAAATTTAAGATGTTTCTTATTACCAGGCCTTAAGCAACTAAGAACTTAGATTTTTCACATCCCATTTATTTTACAAGGAACATTTCTGTTCATTTGACTGAATATATAAATTTGGATACTCACAAAATACTGTTAGAGCTAAAAATACATTTATTCATGGGTGTGGCTATAACAAATTATTCATGGAATGCTCAGTTGTAAAAATTATATAAAATATTTCGAGCATCTCCTTATTGACTATAAGAATATAGCAATCTTCATGTCTAAAAAATGGAAAATTAAAGGAAAAAGGAAGAGAACCCTGAGAAAAGCAGGTTTGTATGGTAATTATGTAGTGGATATAGCTAAGGTTTTTATCTCTGTTCTGATCTAAAACTAAGTAAGTTAGATTTTTAGAGAAATTTTAAACTTACTTCAATGTTACATTCTCCATCTTTGATCCCTCAATCTAGGAACAATCCCTCATATTATTTTCTGTTAGCATTTCCCACAATTTTTAGTTTTATGCTTAACTTGTGTACTTATTATTCATCCTCACATTTAAGCATTTTGCATTTACTTCATTTACCATTGAATACTCAGCACTTAGCGCCTGGCACTTGATAGGCATGATGCAAATATATTTTTGCATGAATCTCACAGGAAGCTTAGAGCTGTGTACATCCCTTGCTAGCCCTTTCTGCCAGCAGCAGTGCTTTGGTGGAAATCAGATTGAGATTAAATATTAGTTTATTAGTCTCCCTTTCTTTCCTTAAAGGTTTTTGTTTTTGTTTTTGTTTTTGTTTTTTTTAAAGGATCTTAATGTCACAGGGAATGTATATTTAAAACGTAGTTACCCGAGGAAGGCTTACTTTTTGTTTGTGTTTCTGTTGTATAGTTTGGTATGGGATATTATTTGTAAATCTCAGGCTCAGTGTATTATTATGTAATCATTTAAATATTGAGGCTCAATTTGGGCATTCTTATATATACTGATTCTGTTGATGATATCCTAAATTTATATCTTTTGGCATTGTGGGTCCATTTCCCAGTACTTTTGACTTACGTGTCCAACTACCTATTAAAGATCACTAACTCTTTGTAGAAATATAATAGGCATTTATGGCTTAACATTCAAAACTGAGGTCCTGATCTTCTGCCCCTTGCCCTCTTCCTCTAACAGTCTCCCTCCTTTCTTCTGTCATTGGTAACTCCATCCTTACATTTACTCAGGGTTTAATCCTTGATGCTTATTCTTTTTTTTTTATAAATATAATTTGTTGTCAAATTAGCGTACATACAACAGCCAGTGCTCATCCCAACAAGTGCCATCCTCAGTGCCCATCACCCACTTTCCCCTCTCCTCCAGCCCCACATCCACCCTTACTTTGTTCTGTGTATTTAAGAGTCTCTTGTGGTTTGCCTCCCTCCCTCTCTGTTTAACTGTTTTTTCCCCCTTCCCTTTCCCCATGGTCTTCTGTTCAGTTTCTCAAGATTCACATGAGTAAAAACATATAATATCTGTCCTTTTCTGACGGACTTACTTCACTCAGCATAATACCTTCCAGTTCCATGTGCGTTGCCACAAATGGCATGATTTCATTCTTTTTCATTGCGAAGTAGTATTCCATTGAATCTATAAACCACATCTTCTTTATGCATTCATCAGTTGATGGACATTTAGGCTCTTTCCATAATTTGACTATTGTTGATAGTGCTGCTATAAACATTGGGGTACATGTGCCCCTATGCATCAGCATACGGTAAATTCCTTGGGTAAATTCCTAGTAGTGCTATTGCTGGGCCATAGAGTAGCTCTTATTTTTAGTATTTTGAGGAACCTCCACACTGTTTTCCAGAGCAGCTGCACCAGTTTGCAGTCCCAACAGTGCAAGAGGATTCCTGTTTCTCCACATCCTCACCAGCACCTTGATGCTTATTCTTGATTTCAGTTGTTCTCTCATATCTCACCCAGTCCATCAACAGATCTTCCATTATGTCGTATGCAGAACCTTACTATGTCTCCACTTTTGTTGTGAGTATTCTGACCCAGGCCATCAGCAACCCTTACTTCACTATTTGTTTGTGTATTATTTTGAGAGAGACGGAGAGAGAAAGAATGTGTGTGTGTGGAGCAGGGGAGGAAGAGAGAGGGAGAGAGAATTCCAAGCAGGCTTTGTGCAGTCAGTATAGAGCCCAATGAAGGGCTTGCTCCCATGAACCCTGAGATCATGACCTGACCTGAAATCAAGAGTCAGATACTTGACCTACTGAGCCACCCAGGTGCCCCAACCCTTACTTCACAATTAAAACAGCCATTTATTCTTTCTACTTTTAATTTATCCTTAGAAGAGCAGCCAGAATGATCCTTACAAAGGGCATGTCAGATCATGTCATTTCTCTCCTGCAAACCTTTCATGGACTTCTCATTTTACCCTCAACTAAACCAAATCTTTCAATGACTATATTACAAGGGTCTGTACATGCTCTGGTCCTAGATTATCTCTCTGACTTCATATTTTATTATATCTCTTGCTCCCTTGGCCTTGTTACTAGCTTCCTTGCTATTCTTTGACCATAACAGGCACATTGCTACCTCAAGAGTCTTTGACATGCTGTTGCTCTTGCTGGAAAGCTTTTTAGATATCCTTACACCTCTTTCCCTCACTTCCTTTAGGTCTTTGCTCAAGTATCACCTTCATAACTAAAACTGAAAACTGAAACTTTTTTCTCACCCCTTTAACTACTTTCTGTCTCCTTCTCTGCCTTACTTTTCTCTACAGTATTTATTGCCACATAAATGTTCATATTTTATTTATATGCTGTTTTTACTTCTATTAGAACATAAGTCCTTTCATCTGTTTTAATCACTACTATATCCCCACCATCTGCAATAATTTTTGGCATATGATAGGTGTTTAGTCAACTTCTCTTGCATGAATGAAAATATTTGTTTGAGAAGAAAACCATCAGGAAAAAATTAAAACTCCAGAATGTGCTTTTTATGTATCTTTATTTTCTTTGACAAGGTAAAGAAAATACCTTGTGCACTGGTGATAAACTGTGCACATTTTTTTATCATCCTCTTCTAAGTCTCATAAGAGGGGGAATAGAATATTGGGTAAATATGAAAAATCAGTTAATTATTGCTAAGTACTTCAGAAAGATAGCATTATAAGATGCTTTTCTTTAAGCCATCATCAAGAATTAGACTTTGCCTTTCTATCCAGAGTCTTTAATATTTAATACAGTATACTATGTTGAGTTTAGTTAATTTTGCTGAGAACTTCTTGGAGGATATTAAGTATCCTAGATATACTACTGCCTTTCCAAAATGACTAATAAAGCCTAGTAGGCTTTTATCAGAATAAAAAGCCATAATTCACTAAGAGCAAACAATCAAGTTGTTGATCTTTTTTATTGTAAGTTACATAAATAAATCCTTTTCCATCTAGGGAAAAAAAAAATATTTACCTCAGTATTAAAATTGGTATTTTACAATTTCAGAAATGATTTTTTTAAATATTTATAAAAGGAACATATCTTATGACTGGAGACTAAAAGATCTAGTCAGACCAGAGTAGAGTTAGCAACTCTGTTTGAGGGAAGTTGTAATTTTCTAATACAGTTCATCCACATTGCTAAGTGTAAGATTTTGGAAGATGTGATTGATCCAAGATTGCAGTATTCAACTTCAGTTATTCCTCATGGAGGTACAGTGAATCTTTATACAGTAATAAATGACTGCTGGAAATTGTGTTTTTCTAGTTGTTTTTGGTGTGTGTTTTTCCCTGATACCTCTTACTTCTCTTTGAGACTAGAGGAGCAATTTTTTTTTTTAACATACTTTATTGTCAGATTGGTTTCCATACAACACCCAGTGTTCATCCCAACAAGTGCCCTCCTCAATGCCCATCACCCACTTTCCCCTCTCACCTGCCCCCCATCAAACCTTAATTTGTTCTCTGTATTTTAGAGTCTCTTAATGGTTTGCCTCCCTCTCTGTTTGTAACTTTTTTTTCTCTTTCCTCTCCCCCATGGCCTTCTGTTAAGTTTCTCAAGGTCCACATACGAGTGAAAACGTATGGTATCTGTCTTTCTCTGAGTGACTTATTTCACTTAGTATAATACCGTCCAGTTCCATCCATGTTGTTGCGAATGGCCAGATTTCATTATTTCTCATTGCCAAGTAGTATTCCATTGCATATATAAACCATATCTTCTTTATCCATTTGTCAGTTGATAGACATTTAGGCTCTTTCCATAATTTGGCTACTCTTTTTTTTTTTTTTTTTAATTTTTTTTTTCAACGTTTATTTACTTTTGGGACAGAGAGAGACAGAGCATGAACGGGGGAGGGGCAGAGAGAGAGGAAGACACAGAATCGGAAACAGGCTCCAGGCTCCGAGCCATCAGCCCAGAGCCCGACGCGGGGCTCGAACTCGTGGACCGCGAGATCGTGACCTGGCTGAAGTCGGACGCTTAACCGACTGCGCCACCCAGGCGCCCCTAATTTGGCTATTCTTGAAAGTGCTGCTATAAACATTGGGGTACATGTGCACCTGTGCACCAGCACTCCTGTATCCCTTGGGAAAATTGCTAGTAGTGCTATTGCTGGGTCACAGGGTAGTTCTATTTTTAATTTTTTGAGGAACCTCCATATTGTTTTCCAGAGCGGCTGCACCAGTTTGCATTCCCACCAACAGTGCAAGAGGGTTCCCGTTTCCCCACATCCTCGCCAGCGTCTGTAGTTAGAGAAGCAAATTTTTATGTATCACATACATTCCGCCATGCCATAAACTCAAAGTATATTGGTATACAACTCTTGACTTTTGAATCCTGTTGATTTTAGGACCTAGGCATAATATCTGGCATAAGAATCCACACCTAACTAGCAATCTTTAAACTTTAAAATTCCTAGATTTTGTTTAAACAATTCATATAAGTGTAAAAGAAATAAGAAATCAACTAATTATTTTAGCACAGTAATTATTAGGCTAAAATATGCTTTGTAGCTACAGAGGCCTTACTGCACTATTTGTTTTCCTATTTGGCAGAACTCATTAATTTGAAAAACGAATTTCTTCATGTGAGTGTAGAGAACTGAGTCTCTACTAGTTGATTACTTTTGTTACATGCTCATTTATCACACATTCTACAAATAATATCAAAAAACAATGTTTGAAAAAATAAGGAATGCTGTTGGAAGGGATTTTAAATTACGATAAATAAGTAGCTGTTAATGATTACACAGTAGTCCTTTTGTTTCTTTATGCAAATTCTAACTCTCATTGTAATTATCTTGGAGCAGGGCAAGAATTAGAAAGCATGAATAAATGTTTTGGGTACATTGTCATATGTCCATTGCTTAAAATACAAAATAAGTATTAGCAACAGTCCCTCTTTCATGGAATCATAATAGTGAGGCTATGCTATTTTTAGCAGTGTTTGAGGAGGGGATGGCAGGTTAAAAAATTTTTAGAACCACTGACAAAATTAAATAAAATTTTTAAATAGGTTGCTGTTGTGTTGTTGTTACTTTTTTTTTTTTTTTTTGGTAGTTAGATTTTCTGAAAGCTGTATTTTGTTAAATCTGAGTTAAGTAGTAGTCATCCATCTGTGTTTTCACAAAGAATGTTGCAAGTAGAAATAAATGTCAGTGATTTTTTTTTTAAGGATACTTAGTAAAAATAATGAGTTATATATATTTGTGCTTGGTGAGAGCTCAGGTATATGCACTGTTCTGAGAAAAGTGGCATTTCATTAAGACCTATCAAAAACTTAAAATCTGTGTGCACAAAAATGTGTGAATTACAAATAATTATTTCAGTGATTTGTACTTCTGTTTAAACCTGGTGATGCCAGTTTATTGTACTTTTTTCTTTTTCTCATGAGTTGCCTTACAAATGATTAATTTTTAATTAATTAATTTAATTTTTTAATATCCTGGTTCTGTGAGGTCGCATTATATGATAGGAGGCTTTACTTTTTACTACTTTTATACTACAAATGATTCTACAATTCCACAATTTTTTTTAGGATTGAGTTTGTTCAGCTAGTGAATAATATGTTCTTACAAATTAAAACTCCTCTTGATTCACTTACATATAATATGATGACTAATACTCACTTCAAAGTACTTGACAGGATTGCCTGTTATATTGGTTTAAACTCATAGGAAATTAGTTATACTGTACTTGTTAAATTTTATATTGTACTTGCTAAATTTTTACCACATTCTATACATATGGCATTCCGTGATGAAACCTGTTTCAGTAAGTATTTTTCTTTAGCTTGTAATTTTAGAATAACTTACCCATGTAGATTTAGTATTTTTCTAACAATCATTTTTTTTAAAAGCTCTATCAGTACCACTCATTTAAAAATTAATTGTAGGAGATTACCATTCGGGTCATTTGTTTTTTATCAAAGAAGAAATTCAAGATTTTTTAACTCCTCCTTTCTTCAAACTCTAGAGTTTATATAACATGACCTACAAATACCACTTAATTGAGAATTAACCAATCTTTAATTTTTACTATTTATGTTTAGTTGCTTTTTAATATTAATGGCTATTTACTCTATAATCTAATGGCAATACACAGGATCATTTGCATCTAATATTTAAGTATTATTAGAATGTTCTCTCTAAAATATTAGCTGCTCTTTGATACTTCATACTAAGTGATGTGACAATAAATTTTACAGATACGGTTGAAATTCTTCAATTTCCTAAATGTTCAGATATCTTACCCATGGGATATAGACATGGCGATGACATTTTTATAACATTTTATAACATGTTTTTACTTTGTTTTTGTTAGTTTCATTTGATGATATAGCCCATTTGGCTAACACAGTTTAAATGTATGCTTTTTATTTTCAAATTACTAAAGAATGATATGTACTACATATGTCCTTCCTAAAAATTAAAAGTTCTCTTTACTTAAGGAAAATATTTTTGAGAGAATTATTAAGCCAACAGCTTATACTACGGCCACTTAACAAGAATCTATAGTTTTTCATTCTTTTAAAGATAAGTTCAGATCTTACAAAAATAAAATTAGGTAAATATGGATATTAAGAAACATACTTTAATTTTTTTATTCTTTCATTTTATTTCTTTGTTCTTCTGGCTAAGAAAATGTACATTTTTTTATAAATTTATAAATAAATTACTTAATTTTTTGGTATCGTAATTCTTAAGCCAGCTGTATATAGGACATTTAAGTAATATTCTTTATTAAAAAAAAAAGTATTCCTTGGAGTACAAGATCATGCTAAAGCTTGGAATAGAATAATTCAGGATTTACATCATAGACCATTTTATATTCCTTTTACCTCATTGGTAACTGACTAAATGCCAGTTTCCTTATTTTTTAAAAATATGTAAGTACCACCACATTCTGATCTTAAGAATGAAAAACTATTATTACTATGAATATATATTCATTAACTGTGCTGTCTTTTCAACTTGCTGCCAAATCAGCCTGCATTGACATTCTTTGCCTTTCTGTGTCTTGTCTATCTTTACTGTTTCCATTAGATCCTCCTACCACTACCACCCTTCAGCCTACAATTCAGTGGCATCCCTCAACTGCTGACATCGAGGATCTAGCAACAGAACCAAAAAAATTGCCCTTCCCATTGTCAACTTTGGCAACAATTAAGGATGACACAATTGGCACAATCATTGCTAGTGTAGTGGGTGGGGCTCTCTTCATAGTACTTGTGAGTGTTTTGGCTGGAATATTCTGCTATAGGAGAAGACGGACGTTTCGTGGAGACTACTTTGCCAAGAACTACATTCCACCATCAGATATGCAAAAAGAATCACAAATAGATGTTCTCCAACAAGATGAGCTTGATTCTTACCCAGACAGTGTGAAAAAAGAAAACAAAAATCCAGTGAACAATCTAATACGGAAAGACTATTTAGAAGAGCCTGAAAAAACGCAGTGGAACAATGTAGAAAATCTCAGTAGGTTTGAAAGACCAATGGATTATTATGAAGATCTAAAAATGGGAATGAAGTTCGTCAGCGATGAACATTATGACGACAATGAAGATGACTTAGTTTCACATGTAGACGGTTCCGTAATTTCCAGGAGGGAGTGGTATGTTTAGCAACCACTAAACGTGACTTACCTATGTACAATGTTTCATTCATACTAGTTGATCATTTTCAGATTGTTCATACTTTTTCTTGAGGAAGAATAAGCTTTTTCAACTTGATTTTCAAGCTTACTTTTTATATTCTAATTTGACAAATGAAAATGTAAAATCTGGGTTCAATGTATCTGAGCTGCTTTACAATTTTTTTTCAATGCTGTACTACTGTCTCAAGATTTAAATTTTAATGCAGAGTACTTTATTGGTCTGAGGCACACAGGTAAGAAGAAATGTCAACATTAAATGTATGACTTTTTTGGTACAAAAATTAAAAAGGAAAAAAAAAAAAGGAAACTACCTTGGCATTGTGTATTAAATGTTTACCTAAGACTATAATCTCAAGTATAATGTTTGTTAAACATATACCTCTCAAAATTTATCACCACTAAATGATACTACATGAAAATTGACTATAAAACTAATTCAAGAAATGTTTATATATATTTTTAGTATACAAAACAAAATATTCAGCCTGATAAAACATCTTTCCCTTTCAAACATTGTTTTCTAAGTTTCTATATAAATGGAATCTTTACCTCTGCATTTTAATGAGCCTTGCCATAATTACTGTAGAGTGGCTTTTCAAAGATATTTTGTTGCACTAAAACTGTGGTAGTAAACTCAGTGAACATGCTGTGTGGAAGAGCCTAATTAGCTGGTCAGTATTTTTGTCCAAAATACATACAAGAGTTATAATAAAAACATGCCTTTTAAACATAATTATTACATTTTTTTTCATCTCTGGAGGACAGTTCTTATAATGTCATATGAACATGGATTTGGGTACATTAAGTGGCATACATAGTTCTGTTTGAATGCTTTATGTCCAAATATAAGAATAATAATGAAAAGATGGTACGCAGTTAAATATAGTTCAGAAAGGGCATTTCAGTATATGGAAAAATGTGGGCAAATTAGTATTGGAGTACAGTTTTTAGAAATGAGATACGTCAGCCAAAAATCCATACAGAGAATTTTCTAGCCCATCTTGTTTTAGTTATCTAATAGTGAATGTTGTTCAAACGGGTAAATATACAGAAAAATTAGAATAAACTTGTAAATTTGAGGTTTAATGAGAAAAATATGAATTATAGAACCAGTCACTAGCACTTGCTGATGTATATTGGCAAATCATCCCCCTCTTCCTCCTAAATGTATGTATTTGTTTCAAGATTTTTGTTTTTCCAATTAAAACTGGAAACATCATAAGGTTTTTTGTTTTTTGTTTTTTGCATAATTCATTCAGTCTATTCTTTCCAAAAATCATGTATCTTTTGAAAACGAAATGTTACCTAAATCTTCAAATGTGGATCTTCTTTGTGAGGTAATTAAATTGCTTTTACAGTGGAGTCCTATAAAATTGTAATGATGACAACTATTTTGAAGCCCAAAGAAGATGTTGTTTTCTGTTGATGATTCATTTGAAAAAAAAGGACTGTGTAGAATTGCCTTAGGTATTTTGCCAGGAATCGAAGTGGTTAGTAGGAGAATCATAAATAAATTATTTTGTTAATAAAAAGGCAAAGTAGGTACTTTTTTTTTTTTAATCCCCCAACCACTCCACTCCTGATGATCCTTGTCGAATCTAAAGGAATGTTTTATAAGACAAAATTCTAACATGTTCATAGAATTTTCCGAGTAGTCAAGGCCTTATTCTAAACAGTTGTAACATAATTTCCTCTCTTTTGACTATCAGTATTTTGTGGAAATTAGAAACCTCTTTTATTTCTCTTCCCACTTACACACGTAGTATAAGACTATAATATCAGCAAAGGACACAGGTAAGCTCACTGGTATCTTGTTAAAAAATATGGGTTTTAATAGAATTAACCACTGATATACAAATATTAGGACTCTTTGGTCCAAGTCATTGGAAGCAAAATTTTATTGATAATACCCTGTGATTAAAGTGGACTTTATTTTTTAATTTAAATGCCAGCACTCATATGGCCACAAGAAAGATGGATCTAAAATTTCTTGCCATAGAAGGTAGGAATTTGTGGCTTTTTGTTCACAATTTCATCTTTAGAACAATGGTTTGAAATGCTATATGAATCTGAGCAGAATAATCACTGTATAAATCTCAGTGGTTCTTGAGTATAATCTGAAGGAAATATTATATTTTAAGAACTGTATTACAAAAATGCAAATATCCGCTTAGTGATTATGACCTTCCTTTTATATTGTGGCCATTGTGTGTTTAGGGTTGTTATTTTTTTCTGTTTTATTTTATGATGGGAGAGGATGACATGGAAAACGGCAAGTGAATGTTTGATACCTTCTGTATCCTTAATATAAATCATTTGACAAACTAAGATTTCAAAATTTTAAGAAGCTGGTACTAGTTAAGACTTTCTGAAGCATTGCACTGCTGTTTATTAGAACTTTATGTTTATTTACTGTACATAGAGACTTATTTGTGAACATGAATAGTCATATCAAATAAACTTTTGTTAAATTAATTTTTGGATATCAGTGATGTACACAGCTAATTGATAGGTACATAGGAAAATCCTTTTATTTTTTTTGGAAAAGATAGAATGTTTTATTTTGACGATGTTTATGTTTCTTTTTTTTATTCTTTGAACTGGCTTTTCATTTTTGTATTCACTTTAGGGTTTTCCTTCACACTGGTTAAAATATTTCAGTAATGCAGGGATGATGAATGCAACTTTTATTTTGTCCTGCCATTTTTATTAAAATATATTAAAACTTTAATAGGCTAGGGGTTCACTTTAAAAGTTACATTTGAGAAGTACATTATAGTTGAAATATTTAGTATTTTACCATGTGCCTAAAAGGTTTCTATTTGATAAGTCTGACATTAAAGAAACCATTAAGGTTTTTCAGTAGTAAGTATTACTTCTGATAGCCATATATAGGAACGTTTTCTAGAGATAACCCTAGCTAAATGTTTAGCAGAAGGGCTTGTAGGAAGTACAATGTATGAGTGCAAAAATTGAGATAAATGTAACACTTTCATATGTGAAAACATCTGATTTGAGTTTGATAATTGCTTTTGGTAAATACTAAAGATATATGAATAAGAAGTTGTGAATGTGTGGGACTATTGTGTAAAATATAAGAAAGGAAGAAATGGTACGCATATTGAATTTTTAATTCAAATAGAGGAATAATTTACAGATTTAATTGTTCTTTTCTGTTTGCTTGTTAATTGGAAATGTATCATCCATAAGAATATGCTCCTTTCTCAAATTTTTGGTATATGGAGTTTGGATTTAATTTTAATTTGATTTGTATCAGTGGTTTTTTTGTTTTTGCTTTTGTTTTTTTACCAAGTTATTTATCAGGTGGTAGCCCCTAATAGCCATGCAACAAATCTTTAAATAAAAGTTTTTAAAAAATTCTTTATAGAGGCATATTTCTATAACAAGCCTATATTGTATTACCTTTCTCCTTGTTATATTATCTGCTGAAGAGTGTGTGCGTGTGTGTGTGTGTGTGTGTGTTGTGTGTATAACCCAGTTTCTTATATTTAACTAATGAAGTTTTTGTGGGAATTCAAAACCTATTTTTATTTCTCTTCCCAAACAAGATTATATAAGGTTAAAGGACACAGTTAAAATTTGAGGGAGCATCTAAGTTGGTAGGTTAGCCATTATAGGATTTATTTTTAATTGACTACTTAATTCCTATTTCCTATACACATTGTGAATAACATTCTCCACAATCATGAATTATCTGTTTCTCCAGGCTTAGCAGTTAAAACAAATTTTGAATATTTTTGCTGCAACTTTAACATAAATTAAATTTTACTGGCTTTTTATTTGGAATGAACATTTCATGAGGTGTTTTGTAAGTTGGCATTTAGGGCTTTTCACTTATTACTGCTTTCATTGTAAATGCCATTGTTTCTGATTGTAATCACCTCCCTGTCTCATATCTCTTATGTTTAAAATAATACTTGTTTTCCTAAACTTTAAATTATTTAAGGCAAGCAGCAGTTGTTTTGTTTTTATTTTTAAATAGCATACAGTGTGGATTAAGTTTGGTTTCCCTCTTGTTATTCTAATAAAAACGTATGCATGAAAGAATCTCTGTAATAGTGTACGCAGGGTATCAACTATTCTATGTTTTTAAAAATGCTTTCTGTTTAGTATTTGTTTTCTCTATTCCAGTTAGCTGCAGTTTTATTTTTTTTATTTTTGTTTTGATTTTTGTACCTATCTACTTTGAGTTGAGTAGGGATAGGTTTGCCTTTGATGTATATATCCTTAGGGGTCATTTCTTGAACCTTGATAATAGTTGTTTTATCATTTTCATTTCAATTTATGAGGATAAAACTTGATTCAATTTTGATTTATCCTAGATTACTTACCTTTTTTGCTGCTGTTCTGGCTAGGTACTGTGGGTGAAGCAGAGTGAAAGTGAGTTTAGTAAGATAACTTTAAAATATCTTTAAAACTTGAGAAAATAATTCAAGGCCTATTTCCTTACATGTATGATATTTCTACATAGACATGATATCTAATTTCACAGTCTCAGTTATGAGAACTATCTCAGGAAACACCTCGTCTTGAAGGGACAGTTTGGTCTAAAAGCCAGAGTTAACTAGATCTAGAAGACTGGGGTCTCTTTTTAAAAAACATTTTCTTATGAGAAATTATATGAAAATAGGACAGAATAATGAAATGAACCTCAGTGTACCTGCTTCTGTTTATTATCAATTCATGGTCAGTCTTGTTCCATTTAAATTCCTATTCACATAATCCCTCCTGCCCTTAGTTCATCTGTAAATGTATCAGCATACAGCTCTAAGAGTAGAAACATTTAGGAAAAGTAACCACAGATTTCTTGTACCAAAAATTAAAAATGCTTTAATATTAAGAATCCAATGAGTGTTCAGATTCTAATCATTTTTTTTGTAGTTTTAGTTTCTAAATGTGACCCATACATTGTGATATTTTTAATATTTTTAATCTATGTGTTCTCCATGAGGCATTCCCCACTCCCTTGATTTTTCCCTTGCAATTTATTTGTTGAAGAAATGGCTTCATTTGTGTCCTGCAGCTTCCCAGTTTGGATTGTGCCAGTTGTACCTCTGTAATTTCTGTAAATTGTCAGATCTAGAACCTTGATAAGATTAAGGTGTAATTTGGGGGGGGGGGGAAAAATACTTCCTAAGTGGTGGTATCTTCTATCAGAAGGCATGTAATGCCTGCTTTTCTTTTGATATTAGCAGTCATTAGATGCTCAAAGCCTAGATCTCACAGAGAACCTACTTGATGTCTAGGTTTATTAGCTCTCTTCTTTTACCATACCGTGTGCTTTGATGTCTGAATAATTATGACCATACTGCTTTTACCTGAAATTTCCTTTCTACACTTCACTGCATTCAAGATCCAGCTCAAACCATGTGATGGGAATGTGCTTCATTTGTTTTTTTAATCATGATTTTGTATTTTTGATTCAGTGATTCAAAGGTTTGATTCCATGTTCAGATATTTTGAGACTTGGTTTTTATTTTGATATTTGGTAGCTAAAATGCAACTTCTCAAAAACAAGTAGATTTAAATGGAAGAAGGACATTGTTGGGAGCCTTAACAGTTTTCATCCCAACTACTGTTTTTAGAGCTAGTCTCCTGTTCAGAATGTTTGCTTTTTCGATGTCTTGCTAATCACAATAACTTCACCCCTCATATTAGCTATTATTTCAGCACAGTATGGGTTTAGTGTGAGGTTTATGGCTAATAAGAGTGAATGTAAATCTTTATTTTATTTGGCCTCCTAATGTGTTTCAGTTTTTTGGTTGACTCATCACTGAGTATATGGCCATGGTTTTGCTTCATAATGTAACTGATAAAATTTGTGTATTAAGAGTAAGATAATTGCATTGCTGTTTTAAGGGGTTTTGTCATTATTTGTGCCTTCATAGTTGGTGTTCTCTTCATTCTGCCAATTCTTTGCAGGAATGCATCTATTAAGAATCAATGCTTCCTAGTATATAACATGGATTAGCACAGATCCTCTCATGTTCCTCTGTCACCCGGGGCGTCCATGTCGGCCTCCTTTAAATTCTTGACTTTTCGTTAAATCTAGGGTAGTTACTGTTTCACTCAGCTGAGCTCTCATACATCCGTAGTGTGTCACAAGATGCTGGCTCTGCTGAGAGGGGACAACAAAGTGGATGTGTAATTGTTTGATTTCATTCTGGAACTATCTCATTCCGTACTAACCATGGGATCTTGTAGATGCCTTGTGTAGCAAGTGAACACCTGACGTTTGGACTAAGTGAAGCTACCAGTGCCAGTCCGTGTATTATATACTAGTACCACATTTATTTTGTAATTATCACTTATCCTAAAAAAGGGGATAAGTGATAATAATCTCTACATTGGAAAAAATATTTTTATGGATTCTGTGATCCCACTTTAGGGATTTTGCTCTCTACTGTGAAGATAGGGACTATGTAAAATTCATCCTCACATTCTTGGCACTTAGCATGTGCCTGACACGTTAGGTTACTATTGGTAATTTGTTGAATGAGAGGTGACAACACCATCCCGACCCAAAGAAAGGACATTTATTAAAAAGTAGTGAGATAAATATTTCGATGGATATAATGAAGTAGAAGGTGTATTGGAAAAGTAAACATTAAAAGTGGCAATTGAGGGGCACCTGGGTGTCTCAGAGGGTTAAGCTTCCGACTTCAGCTCAGGTCATGATCTCAGAGTTTGTGAGTTCGAGCCCCACTCGGGCTCTGTGCCGACAGCTCAGAACCTGGAACCTACTTCAGATTCTGTGTCTCCTTCTCTCTCCGCCCCTCCCCTACTTGTGCTCTGTCTCTCTGTCTCTCAAAAATAAATAAATATAAAAAATAAAAAATTTTAAAGTGGCTCTTGAAAAATAAAAGTGAGATATATTTATGGGGAAAAATTGGTGATACAGTGATATGTATTATAAGGGCAAATAAAAGTTGAGAAGATAAATTTGTAGGGTATCACATTAATGTGTGAATCAGGTAGTAGAACCACTGAAGTTTTGGTGAAGGTAATAAAGGAAAATAGTTAATAAAGGAAAATATTTCCATTAATTGTTAGGTCTTGGTGTTTGAGTGTGTGAAAAGGGCCTGTAGATTTCTATACTCACCCGTTTCAAGTGGTTTTTAGCAAGTTGCTATGTTTTGCTGTGTAGAATAGTATTTATTTTTTTCAAATCTTGTCAGATGTGAATTAGGTAAGCATATTTGAGTAGCTTCAACATATTTTTTATTCGTATGTATCAGAGTAATAAAGACAAACTTAAATTCAGTTTAGTAGTTATATGTATATTTTTTTTCAAAAATAATGAAAATTTTTATGTCTGTATTAAGTTTCTTTTGGTATGATGTGTTAGATTTTTGAACATTTTCCCTAGAAGACATATGCATGATATCTATTATGGGCAGTAAGCTTTTGTTGTATTGGGGAAAGCACTTTTGTTTTCTGCTGATTGTAAGCAGATAGTTAAGATTTAGTAGTCTGTCTCCTTAGGTGATGGTAATGTCATGTCATTCATTCAGTAAATTAGCTGAATGTTTAAAAATGCCAAATTTTTATACATTTGCTTATTTCCTCCTTGTAGTTTGATTGTAATATAGAATAGATTACGTGGGCAGAGATGTGGAGGAGGCAGTGTTGTAGCTAAATTCTCAATTTTCATTAAAATTCTTTGACTTGAATACAAGAAATTTCAGCTTGCTCTTTGCTTTTCATACTAGTGTTCATCACCGGTTAATATCGTAAATATATTCTTCTTTGTTTTTTCTCAGTTAGTAGAAGAATCAGAAAAGGAAACATGAAACCTATCCCATTTATGTATTTATTTGCTTCTGTAGAATATCCAGTTGGTAAACGGATTCATATGTAGTTTTTCTTTGATTTGCTCTTTTCAGTACTTACTAGCCTGGTTTGATACTAAGAAGAGGTGTACAAAAAAGAAAGGAAAAATATGAATAAAGAATGAGTGGAACTGGGTGAAATAAATATGCCCAATTTAAGATAGAAGGAAGAGTCATCATAGTCTATACAAAGTCAACTCAGAGTCCCAGAGCTAGGATTTATAAGACTAATGGGACAGAAGTGGATAAATAGACCATAATTTAAATGTTCAGAAAATAGTGTCTATTTGGACTTGAGAATTACTTAAGGATATTAAAAATAGTACAGAGTTGGAAATTACCTTAGGATGTGAAAAGTCTGTGATTATTATATCTTATTACAAAACACTACCAAATTTAATATCTTTATTAAGATTAAATGAGAGGTTTTCTTGGAGGTGTGAGGTTTGATGAATGTATAATGATCTGTACATTGAAAATCTTACATTCAAAGAGTAACCTGAGTTTTTCAAAAATAACTTCAGAAGT